GGAACATAAAGTGACCTGTTATGGAACAACAATCAAACTAGGTCGATGAGTTCCTAAGGCATTGGATGGGCATCAGAGCCATTGAGGAGAGGCAAGCACCTATCAAGGTGAGTGAGCTAAGATTGTTTTTAGGGCTCATGAATTATTACTGAAGATCCACCGTAAGTTACTCGAAGAGGGCTAAAAAATATCCTAAAGAAGGACGTACCAACCATCGTTGTTTTCCGGTGTGAGTGAGCCTTATATGGAGTTTAACTAAAAAAACCATCAATCACCACAGGTAATATGTAGAGTATGAAAAAATTACCCAATAAAATGGTGGACAACCTACATATTTGCCAACTCCATTTGTATCCGAGTTCCATCCAGAGCAAGAATATGTTCAATATTCGAATCTAGCGACCTACCAAATTTCCACAATCCAAAAAGAGCAGCAGCTCCTGCAAAACAGGTGGAATAAATAGATAGACACACACAAAAAAAAAACTTCTATATTTGCAAAATATTAGGATTGTCCACATATACTTGTAGAGAAACAGAGAGTGATATAATAGAAACTTGCAATACAGTCACCAATAGGTATAGGTGATAGTTTCATGTTATGTTTCCCAGATTGCTGGTCTTGGTAAAGTTGCAGTAGATCTTCTGCCAACTATGATGGGTCGAGGCTTAACACAATAGGGGAGCAGGGTGGAGTAAATTTTGGTAGGTAGTAGATAGTGTGGATTTGGCTATAACATACTCTACCCTATCAGATAACAAATCAACAAACATCACAACAGAAAAAGCTTTAAAATGGGATTTTAATCAATGTAAAGCCAAGTAAAGAAGCATGGATACTTGCATGGTACTGGAAGAGCAAATATAGGAGAAATGAAAGGCACCTGAGGAGGCTATTGTCCAAGCTTTACACCATAGGTTCAATAATTCTTGTCTGGCAAATGGTAATTAACCCAATTTATAGCAGTCTATGGTGATGCTCTAAATGGAGGTACAATCATAATGAACATTACTACAACAATTTTGACATAGATAAGGGTGTTCTTTTAATGAATGACCACTTTCAACAACATGATGCACAGTAAAAATATTATCGTCATGATGTCACCAGGCCATCAAAACATCAATATACCACCGTAAGTACACATTTTCTCGCATCCAGAACAAAAACCATTGGGATGAGAGACTTACAATTACCATTTCAAGGATGTACTTGCATATGAATTATGCTTACTATTAATCATTAGGTTTCCATATTATGATGTAGTGATTGATGTAATATTCACTGTATTTGGGTGTCTTATATAATATCTAGGCAATGTTAGAAGTTTTAAAGTTTCTGTAAAATGTCATTCAAGTTCATATTGTTTAAAAATTAACAGGGTTTAGTGCTATCAACACTTTGGCATCTGAATGATTTCATTTATTCAGTGCACAATTTGCCCTGATTCCTTTTGTAAGATGTAGCACAAGATGAAAAAAAGATAAAAGAATTGCACGATGTATAACCAATAGCAGGTATCATTAGGTTTTTTAACAAAACAATTCAGGAATTGAACATAAAAGGGGCAAACCAACAAAAAAGATGAGTAGATATATAGACAAAGGAGGAAGGGTGGAGGGATGGGCTGATGGCATCTCTTACCTCCTGAAAGGTTGATGCGGAAAAAGTTATTTAGCCTTCGACTTGCTGTCATACAGAATTGAGATTTTCAAAAACAAAGTGACCCAAATAAATTATAAAACCCCTTGGATACACCAACAAGATGAAGTAGAAGAAGCAACAGACAATTATGTGATCAGCTGAACCTGACCTCCATAGATATAACAACTTTAAAATTTATGATCGATTCTAAAATATCATATCATGATCGATCCTGGAAGTTACGACTTGTTACTACTTTTTTAGGTCAAATTACACCTTTTAAAAGTGAAGTTACAACTGATTAAGGGTACTTATGGTTAATTATAACATTTTATGATTGATCATAGAATTAACTTCACTTTTAAAAAGTATAACTTCATCTCAAAAAGTAGTTACTTTCTGTACTGTATCCAATTTTTATTTTTTTGATACCGTAGAATTACCCCCATTTCACATATATACACTGAAACATATGGGTATGCATGTGATAAGAAATCAAACCAACAAGGCATTATACCAAACCATGTGATACCGGCACCAACACCAACACCAATGGTAAACTCTCTCATAGCGTTTGCCTTGCATGCCATTATTACATTTGCTTCTTGACTTGTCATTTTATCCTGCCAATTACACCATTGTAAAAACACATAAATTTCTGTTGAAAAAAATCTTCAAATGATTGAACTAGCTAAACTGCTTTTGAGAATAATCAAAGCTCAACTCGAATGTTTATACAAATTATGATTTAAAACAGACACAGCGTAGTCCAAAAAGCTGATTTTCTCGGGAAATTGCTAGGGTTTTTTTCTAATTTTATGCTGGATTACCGAGAAAATAGCGGAAAAATTACAGACGATTTCATATAATTGCATCCAAATGTGATTGTATGTATGTGTGTGTAAAACCCTAAAGATACCTGTTTGGATCGGAGAATTTGTTCGAGTTCGTAGAGAGCATCTCCCATTTTTCCTATGAAGACGTAATTTGTGGACAGTGAAAAAACCCCTCTTTATGTCGAGTGCTTTGGAGTTCAGTATTAGACTAATATCAATGCACCGGTTAAGCGGTTACGTTTTTTGGACCCGGATTACGATTCGATATCATATGGGTACAACCCGAATAAATTTGGCCCAACATTTCCTTTTTCTTTTCCCCCCACCTATTTAATTGGACAGGTCAATTTTGACTTCATTCGGGTCCTTTTGAAGTGGATCGTAAACTAGGTGTATCAAGTATTGGGTAAGAGAGTAGCTCGTGCATCAATTGAATATGTTTGTGTTAAAAAAAAATTTATTTATGTGCGTGCTAGATCTTGCACAATATAAAAACGAGAACAGATCTCTCCCTTGGTGAACTCGAGTGAGTCAGTTGAGTGGTCAACCACGCTGCTTGGAACAGTCTGTGAGATCCGGTGGTAACCTGGAACGGTAATGGGAGACCCTCGCGGATCAAAGGAACGATCCAGTAAGGCTGAAGAAAGGTTCCTGGAACAAAGAAGAACAAGTTAGAAGGGCGTCGGAGTATTTTCCGGCGTATCCCCTTCGACGATCAAGTCAGTTTTTGAGAAAGAGGAAGAAGAAAACACTGAGTATAATTTGAAGCAAAAGTTTCACCTCCTATTCTTGCCTTTAGTGAGGAGTATTTATACCTCAAATACTCGTGATTGTTGTCNGAGTGTTTTTCGGCGTATCCCCTCCGACGATCAAGTCAGTTTTTGAGAGAGAGAAAAAAGAAAACACTGAGTATAATTTGTAGCAAAAGTTTTTACCCCCTTTTCCTTGTCTTTAGTGAGGAGTATTGATACCTCAAATACTCATGATTGTTGTCAGTGTGATCAGTATGTGATCATTAGATACAGACAACGTGCGCACTGATTCCTATGAGGAATGCCTTCTCTCTTAACTGCTCGGGACCCCGAACAATCAAGTCTGTGTCATCGGCCTGCCAACGGTTCAATGAGCTCCTCTCGGAGAGGATGCAATAAATGCCCTGCCTTAGAGACATTTATTGTCTTTCACTTCTGAGCCTTACCGCATTGAATGCAGTTTCATCAAGAGAATTGTGTAATTAAATGTTTATTTTTCCAAGTCGCGTGTCAGCAAGGTCATGCGGTCTTTCTGTCTCTGATGTGACACAATATGCCACGCGTCCATTCCTCATTGGCTGTGGGCCATGCCTTCCTGTGCCTTCTGACACCAATTTGTAAGACGAGGTCATGATAGCTAACCTAGCCTAACCTAGGCTAGTGACCAGTGCATCAATAACCTCTGCTGGAGCAGAGAACTTCATCATGGATGAGAGGGGGGTACATCTCGGTACCGAGGAAGAGGTACATCTCGAAACCGAGGAAGAGGTACATCTTGAATCCAANTTTCCCGGGCAGTGTTGCCTTAATGTCTTTAGGATAATTATGGGGGTCCTAGAGCTCAATAGGCGTCTTGGGGTAAACGTCAGGTTGAACGATATCCTTTTTTGTTATTCCCTCTTGAGAGTTACGCCTCAACAACACTTCTACCTCAAAGCCAGGGACCCATCTATGTACATCGTAACTCACCTTCTTGACTCGGACAAGGGGTACAAGGATGACCTACTTATCTTCAGGGGATCTTGGCAGAGAGGTGTCGGTCCCGAGTATGACGGCTTGTTATGCCCTTTGGAATGGAGAACGTCAAGTACGTCGGTTCCTTTGGGTCTATTACTTTTTGAGATTTTCTACGTGCTCATGACCCATTCCTCTTTTTGCTTGTGCAGATATCTCCCCTCGGGAAACAGCTCCTCCACCTAGGTCGTTGGTGAACTTTGTGGNTGGGATAGGTGCTATATATAAAGGGACTTTCTCTCTTCTTTTCTCATTTCATCGTTTTGAACTTTTATTCGCAGAGAGCCATTGTCTGAATCTTCACCGGAAACCTCTTTCCTTNGCTCCTCCACCTAGGTCGTTGGTGAACTTTGTGGACCTAGTCACCGTTTGGAGATTCACTGGTGACGACGGGCTCAGCCGGGCTGCCCACATCCTCCTGAATTATACTCCTGGATATAAGAAGTTTTCACAACTTTCGCAGCCTTTCGNAGCCAGCAGACCCATCCTTGCTTCTGAACATTCTTGGAAGGAGTCGATTCAAGTTTTTCAGAAAAAACCTCTTTTTACACTCTGGTGAGTCCCAATATCTTCCTTTTCTTTGCCTTTCTGTCTCTTTTAGTTTTCTGATCACCGGAGGTGTTTTTTGGTTGCCCTTCAGCGACCAATTCCCGGAAAGCCTTCTTGGAGATCTTCGTGGAAAAGACCCCCTCTATTTTTTATCACTTTTTAAAGATGCCTCGTCGTCGCCCTGCCCCCGAGAACCCTCAGGCCAGTACTTCGAGGCCAGGGAAGTATAAAGTAAAAGGTGGTGAACAAATTAATAGATTTAGGGTTAAGTACAGCGTTCCCCCGAATGTAGACATAGAGAATTATGACCTGGCTGTGCATCCTCGTACCCTCGGTACCGAGGACGCAATGCCTTTCTTTATCAAAGCCATCATAGAAGGTGGGATTAGGTTCCCTTTGCCCCCTCTGCTTCTCCAGTTCCTCTCTCATTTCTGCCTCTTTCCCGGGCAGTGTTGCCTTAATGTCTTTAGGATAATTATGGGGGTCCTAGAGCTCAATAGGCGTCTTGGGGTAAACGTCAGGTTGAACGATATCCTTTTTTGTTATTCCCTCTTGAGAGTTACGCCTCAACAACACTTCTACCTCAAAGCCAGGGACCCATCTATGTACATCGTAACTCACCTTCTTGACTCGGACAAGGGGTACAAGGATGACCTACTTATCTTCAGGGGATCTTGGCAGAGAGGTGTCGGTCCCGAGTATGACGGCTTGTTATGCCCTTTGGAATGGAGAACGTCAAGTACGTCGGTTCCTTTGGGTCTATTACTTTTTGAGATTTTCTACGTGCTCATGACCCATTCCTCTTTTTGCTTGTGCAGATATCTCCCCTCGGGAAACAGCTCCTCCACCTAGGTCGTTGGTGAACTTTGTGGACCTAGTCACCGTTTGGAGATTCACTGGTGACGACGGGCTCAGCCGGGCTGCCCACATCCTCCTGAATTATACTCCTGGATATAAGAAGTTTTCACAACTTTCGCAGCCTTTCGATTCTTCGCGGTGGTCTGAACTCTTCGATCAGGCGGTGAGGCAAGAGGTTGAGGAGAACTTAGAAGAAGACCCTGACCGGGCCTCGGAGGCAGAAGTAGAGGGTGAAGTTGAAGAGCTCGGGGTCAGAGAGGACTTGGTTCCTTCGTATGCCGAGGTGGGGACTTGGGGCAGAGACTCGTGGCCGGACTTCCAAATCCTACAATCTCTCGACGCCGAAGACGCCCTCCAGGTAGCCATGTCCAGCACGCCCCGCATTGATCTAGGGTTCCTAAGGCAGAGGCAAGCCCTCGTTGCTGGGAGGGGATAAGGATCTACCGGTGGGGCCCCATCTGCAGGGACCAGCGCCACCCCGTTCTCAAGAATCGTCAGCCGGGGTCAAGTGCGTGACCGGGATCCTCAGGTAGAGGAGGATCAAACATAGGCACGACGGCCTTGGCAGGGGATCCAGGGCCCCCTCCGCTCAGTAACAAAGTGGGAGAGGCCGTGGGTTACCTCCTACTCCTCAGCAACAACAGCGATAGCAGCAACAACAGTAACAGCAACAGCAACAACAGCAACAACAGACTCCTCCTCCCCTTCCGCAGACAGTGGAAGCCGCGAAGTGGAATCCTCGAGCCACTGATCACATAAACCGAGTGATCAGGGTCGACGACTCCGTTTTGCAGGACCCTCATGTCGCCCATGCAGTGAGTGAAACGCTGCATTTCGAGGCCGACATGCTGGCTCATAGGGGGCGATCAACGAACGTGTTGTTTTGCTCTATCATTCAAAATTCCCTAGTGGTAAGTTCATCTTTGCTTCAATCTTTTTTAGCCGCCTTTCCTTTTAGTAACATGCCCTTTCATTTGCAGGCCACCCAACAGATCTCCGTAATAGCGGCGCGGTATCATGGGACTAGGATGGACCTTCAGTGAATTCGAGAGCAGAAGGAAGAAGCCGAGGAAGCCCTTGTCAGTGCTAAGGAGGATGTGGCTGCCAAGGATTCCACCCTCGCGGGACAGGCTGCTCAAATCGAGCAACTCCTCAAGGATGCCAAGTTGGCAAAAGTCGGCGCTGAAAAGCTAAGTGCTGCCCTTGCCGACGCTGAAAGGAGGATAACAGAACAGACGCAGCGGCTCTCTACGGCAGAGGAGAGGGCTGTTGGTTCCGAGGAAAGCTGTCTGGCTCTAACCCAGGAGCTGGACAGGATCAGGGATGAGGCACAGAACAGGAAGTCTGAGGAGCAACTCCGAGAAGAGTTCGCCGATGACGTGCTCCCTGCTCTTGAGGAAAATAGCAAGGAGTTCTTCAAGAAGGGGTGGGACGAGGCGCTCCAGTCTGCTGGGATCCCGTCAGACTCCCCGCTCTTTCAGATGCACAAATACGTGCTCTCGACAGAGATGGAACAGGCCGAAGCCGAGATTGCTGCCAAGGACGTGAATCCAGCGCCGGTGCAAGATTCGGTTGATCCGCTCGAGCTGATAATTGTGAATTTGTCTGACGAGGCCATGCCGGAGCGGGCTCCTGACCATGTTATTCCTCAGGCTGTCACTGTTGCCGAAGTGCCTCCCATTCTGCCCACTCCCGAAGATGCTCAACCTCTTTACGCTGATTCTCCCTTGGGCGATGTTTTGGAGATGCCCGGGGCCAGATGAAAGCTCTTTTTTCTTTTTGATTGTACTGTTTTCTATTGTAGCTTTGGGGACGCAAAACCCCTCTTTTTGAATGAACTTTTTTGTACTTAATACTTTCTTGCGTACACTTTTTGTGTAGGATTTCTTGAACTATCTTCAGGGCCTTGCCCTTTCAAGAGACTTGCTCTCGTGGTTGTTTCGGGGACAAGAGTCCTC